TTTTTCAGGTCAACTGAAAGAGCATCAGATTCGAGACCACAACCCGTTCGAGGTGGTTCTACCTCTGTGTTCTACTGAGCACTTGATTAACCTGCCCAAGGTATGTACGTCATATAACTCTACTGCTACTTGTATATTCTGCTACTTATTTATCTACAATTAACAAACTGCAATTATATAATAATATATTTTTTTCAGAACAAAGGAAAATCAAGGACGTCGCGTGTCACGCCATCAGCGACACGTATGAAGGTGTCACGTTGGTCATACAAGAGGGTCTTCTGTGTCGCGAGTGTGACACGCCGCTTGACAGTGACAAACACTTCCTGTTAGTATAACCACTTGATAAAACGACGCTGCAAACATTGAATACAATCAGATTTATGGAATGTCAGTAAAGTTCTTCCTTTATCGTGTTGAAAACACTCATTAACTTTTACAAAAAAAAAATATTTTAGTAGCTCTTATTATATTGTGATATCATCTTATTAATATTTCTATATTTTCTAATGAAGAAAGATTAGATAAATAATATACCAAATGTTTTTTTTTTTTTTTATTATTCTTTATTGCACACAAAAAAAAAATATGTACAAAGGGCGGACTTAACGCTATGTCAGCATTATCTACCAGCCAACCCAGAATGGTGTAGGAGAGTAGTGAGTAGGACGTGCACAGAAGTAAAGAAAAATTTAAAATATATACATAGTAAAGAATACATAAATATACATAATATACATAAATATTCACAAACAAATACACATACAAGTACATAAATATTTAACATATATACACAATTATATAAATATATTTACATATGAATCCATTTATGATAAGAGTATAGAAGAAAAGACATCACATAGAGTTGACAGACGACAGATAAAATTCTTTCACTTGGCGCTTGAAAGAATCGCGCGAAGGGGCTCTGCGAATGGAGTCGGGCAAAGTGTTCCAAAGCCGGGCTGCGACTAAAGAGAAAGAGTTGGAAACAAAGCCAGATTTATGGGGAGGTATGAAAAGTGTAAGGGATTGAGAGGATCGTAGGGGCTTATTGTGAGTAGAGGAGAGAAGAGAAAATTTAGAGGATAAGTAAGTGGGAGCATTAGGGTCGGTAAGAATAGAGTAGAGAAGACATAGAATCCGAGTGTACCTACGTTCCCGTATAGGAAGCCAGTGTAACTGCTTCCTAAAACGAGAAACGTGGTCGAACTTGCGTAAACTAAAGATGAAGCGAATGCCGCTGTTTAGAAGACGATTAAGTTTTTGGAGGTGTTCTTCCGACAGGTCTAAGTAACAGGAGTCACCGTAGTCAATAATTGGAACCAAGAGGGTAGAAGCAAGCTGTATTTTAGTTTCCATGGGCAAAAAATTTTTTAGACGCATCATGGAATGCATAGTGGCGTAAAACCTACGAGAAACTTCTTTAATATGCTCCCCCCAACTGAGTTTACTATCAATGATAATGCCGAGGTCCTTAACACTACTGCTGAACTCTATTGGTGTATTATTATATCGTAGGCTGGGCAGAGTCGGAACATCTAGCTTGGCTAGCTGTCTCCTGCTGCCTATAATGATGGCTTGACACTTGGATGGATTGACAGTGATACCATATTTAGCGGACCAAAGAGAAATGCGGTGGAGATTATCATTCAGGGAGTTAATGGCCGCGGCAAAATCATTGACAGCAGAGTGTTCGTAGAGCTGCAAGTCATCGGCATACAGATGGTAGTGCGAAGTTAAAATTTTAGTGATGGAGTTTATAAAAACAGAAAATAACAGAGGAGATAATATGCCGCCTTGAGGAACGCCGGCACTCGCGTCGCACCAATCAGATTGTAGCTGACCGATGCGTGTGGATTGCCGACGCCCTCGGAGATAAGAAGAAAACCATTCAACGGTAGAGTCTGACAAGTTAGCATGGGAAAGAAATGCAAGAAGGAGATCATGGTCTACTGCATTGAAAGCATTGCTAAAGTCGATTAGCACGAGCACTGTGAGTTGCTGGTTCTCCATGGCAATACGAATATCGTCCGTGACCTTTAACAATGCTGTTGTTGTGCTGTGACCTGGGCGAAAGCCCAATTGGAGTGGATTGAATAAGTCGCATTTATGAAGGTAGCAGGAGATTTGTTGGTGTGCAATGGACTCCAGGATTTTGGATAAAAAGGGGAGAATTGTTATAGGACGAAAATGAGAGGGTAGCGAAGGATTTGATATTTTAGGGAGTGGGAGAACAAAAGCCTTGCGCCACATCTCAGGAAATGTACTCGTGGTAAAGGAGAAGTTTACGATGTGAGTTATGGGGGGAATTAGAAAGTTGAGGATAAGGGTAATCATAACTCGACTTATTCCATCACAACCAACCGCCTTGGATTTGATCGAAAGAATGGTTTTCTTCACATCATTCTCCGTAATAGGAGAAAATTGAAAAGGTGGAGAAGTGATTCTAGGCAAGCCATGTATTTCAGAAAGCGTTGAAAGTTTAGTTTGCAAGTCGAGGACTGGAGGTGAAGAGAAGTGAAGATTGAGATCGTTTAAATCAAATTGAGATTGATCAGGGAAAGTTTGAGACTTGCCGATACCGAGGGTGTTTAAAAATTTTAAAGCTTCCTCGGGAGAAGATTCACGTATTTTGTCAAAGAAATATCGGCGTTTGAGCTTCCTACACAACTGATTGCAGCGGTTCCTTGCAGCTTTGTAAGCTGACCAGTTGAGAGCAGAACGGTCCCTCTTGTACTTACGGAAGGCTTTATCCCCCTTGGCTCTCGCTTTTCTTAAATCGTCATTAAACCAAAGGTTTGAAGAATTTATTATTTAACGAGGCGAGTGTCGGTCAAATAATTCAATTAGAATAGAGCAGAGAAAATGCAACTTTTCGTCAATTGACGCCAACACCTCTATCTGCGACCAAGGAATAAGAGTAGCATCGTCCAATAACCTATCGAGATCCAGACAACGGTAGCTTCGCAGCAACAGCATCTTGGATTTGGACTTAGGTGATCTGAATTTAAAGGAAGCAAATATTAGATCGTGGTGAGAGAATTCCGGCGCTGAAAACTGACCAAATTTAGAGACCAAGTCACCTTTAGACGGTATAATTAGGTCTAAGAGACTATCGGGACCGTCAAATGGGTGGTGTGTTGCAGCGAGCGGTAAAACCTAAAGGTTAAAGGAGTCTAGTATAAATCTGAGCTTTGAAGACCGATAATTACTCTTGATCAGACAGGTGTTGATATCCCCCATTACAATAAGATTAGTGTACTTAGGCATCAGATTCTCGAAGAGGGTCTCAAGAGAAGAAAAATAATTGATATTGGGGGGACAGTAGACCACTCCAAGGGCTATCTTGGTGCCCACATCTATCTCGATGAATAAGTATTCAGAAGATGCGTTATACTGGGACGTTGATTGACAAATAAGTTTGTAAGGGATGTGACTTTTTAAATATATTGCAACACCCCCACCAGTTTTTCCGATTCGATCATTCCTGATTAAGATGTAATTAGGTATAGAAAAAGAAGTAGAATGAAGAGAAGGTTTTAACCAGGACTCGGAAATAAGAACAGCGTGAATGGATGCCTGGTTAAATGTAGAATAGAGATCGGAAAAATGACTTGGAACACTTTGCGCATTGATGTGACAAATATTTAAATTCTTACGAAAATGTGAGAGTTCATTAGATAGTAAATCTCCTAGTAATTGAGAATTATCATCAGTACTTAGAAAAGAAATGTCGTCATCACCATCTCTTGCAGAATAAAATGATTCAAAGCTTGAATTCATAATGCATATACAAAATTATAATATACCAAATAAAATATATACTTATACAATAATATATTTATATATAACAAATTTTTAAATGTAATTATATGAAAACAAAGAAATTAAAAAAAACTAAAATAAATCAAGTAAATTGACTAGACTAACCATACACATTCTGTTGGCTCACAACAATTCACTTAAAATACGTAACTAATAAGAAATACTAAAATACATAAGAAAAAAAAAATACAATGCATGTTAAGGTCTACAAACTATGTATCTAAGTGATTACAAAAAAGTTTGCTTGTCCCAAAAAAAAACCACAAAAGTTAAAATGTATTAATAATAATAATAGTTGATTAATAATGATAAAAAGAAACATATGTGAAAAATAGTAATCATTTCGTATTAAAGGTAAAAGTAGATATTAAAAAGAAAAAAAAAATCCGTCATGCACATAAAGGTTGATATACAATCGTTTACCACAAGGACATGACTTTATAAAAAAAGTGATTTTATCCATTTAATTGTAGCTAACGAATACAGATTGAGAGACATGTATCTAATATAAAATAATAAAAAATGTAGAAAGAAACACTTCTAATAAAATTTGTTATCGATATCTATAGAGTGAGTGCGGCATATCTGGAATACATGTTGCAAGTTACGAATTATTCGACATTACCTGCAGCGTCTCAAATATGCCGACCTTCCTCCATCCATTAGACTTGAGAAATAAAAAGTGTGCCAAAATACAATCATCCAAGTCACTAGCAATTGACAGTTGTCAACGACACTATAATAATTATAATAGACTTCAAAACTCGCCCCAGGTGTCAACTTGTCAAGTGTCAACAGTATGGAATTGATAAACAAATATACCCGGGATTAACATGCGACTTGGATAAAGAATAATAATATTGTAATTGCTACAAGGACACTAATAATTAAAAGAAAAGAAAATATAGAATCACAGTTACACACAAGAAATGACCATTGTGGAACGAAATAAACATCATTGTGATGTTAAAAAAACAGTTAAGTGTAAATGAACTGTAACTTAAGATAACCATTGTGTTGATTTTAAATAAATTTCACACATATTCATATTAAAAGCAAATAAAACGAACTATCATCGAAAGAATAGAGGGACTTCAACATGTACTATGAGATGATTATAAATTAAGTGAAAGTATAACCAAAACAAGATATACAATACATGGGATAACAACATACTATTGCTTCTTGACCAAATTTCGTCGCGTAAGTGGCTTTTTGCTGGCGTCAGGAAGAGCTGCAGGGCTGACTCGAGGCAGCGCAGAGCTGGCAGGCTTGACAACGGACTGTGATGAGGGCGATGGACTGGGGAACATCTTTAGGCATTCATCGAAATCTTCCTGAGTTGTGATACGCCTGCGTTCGTTATTTGGCAATTTGATATATATGTTACCATTAAGGGTCCAGGTGTTAGTTATGCCAAATCTTTTTCTTGCTTTTGTGAAGAGAGATTGACGAACCTTAGTCAAGAATTCACTCAGCACAACTGGAGACGACTTTAATTTCTTTTTATTACTCCAAATGAGACTTTTAACTTTTAAGTCATTAAATCGGACAACAATGGGTCGAGGAGCCCTCTCAGACTTACTTCCTATACGATGGCAGTACTGGATCACACCTGGCTGAAGATCAGGGATGCCCATCAACACTTGAATTGTTCCAAGGACCGTTGAGACCAAGTTCTCACCTTCAGCCTCCTGAATACCACCGAACAGCAGAGCATTTCTTCTAGAAGTGTTGTCGATGTCATCAATTTGTGAAGATAAATTAGTGACAAGTGTCCGTAGGAGGTCCATGTTTAATACATACTAAAGTATAATTTTAATATTCTCAATATACAGCGGTCGCACGTCGCGCAGCAAGTGTCCATATGCTACATCATGTTACCGAGCGATGTTGAGACACAGTGGATATTGCGCCGGCTCACTTTCACTGGAGGCCGCTCCTAGACCCGCTCCCACGCTATACTGCGTCTGCGAATACTCTACAGACATAAGTCAGTTTACACTGGTTATAGGATGTCAATCAATATAATATATTTTCATTTTCTTTTATAAATTTTATAACTAACTATGTAACTGTTAGACCAGCAGCATATATAGATCAATATAAAATATACAATTAACCAATGACTATAGTAACTAATAAAATATTAAGATTTTAATCCCCAGACGGCATCGTTAAATTAAACAAGTATGTAGTATTAACAGATTTTATTGTCACGACGCAAAAATTGTATACAGTTCGTAAATATTTGCAATTATTTATGAAAAACTTTGTTGTTCTAATATAATATTACTCCAGGCACGGACATTCTATCTCATCTCCTCGTGACACAACACACAAGCGCGTACTTAACTGAGGAACTAGCACGAGCCAACACCGTCAGGGAAGAACCAAAACCTGCTGATGAAGTAGAGCCTGTGAGTATCTACTAGTGATTACTCATACTGTTTTGCGATTATATTATAATGTATTATGACATTTGCCGCTCAATAAGCTTAAATAGTGCCTAGTTTTAACAAAATAAACGAAATTTTCATGTCACATAAAATCAAAATAAAATTTTCATGTCTTAATAACAATTTTGTAGAACATATTTGCTCTTTATTCAAAACTCTTTAAAGTAATTTAAAAACGGCTTAAATAAACATTCGTTTCGTAAGGAGGAATTCATTTATTTCAGTTTCAATATTAATTTTAATAGGTCACATCAAATAGTATACTACGTAGAAGAAATTAAAATCATCGTATATCTGTCTTCAGATGATTCCAGTGTACGCTGAAGGCTGTGAGCTGACGGCCAACGTGCTCCTCTACATGGACCATCTCAAACAACACCAGGACAAGGAGCTGGAGATTAAATGTACGAGATGTGTGCTGAGATTCGTACGTCTCGGTGAATAATACAACTGTAAGTACTATATAAACAGATGAAACTAATATTTTCGGACTGTTTCGCGTATTTTATTATTTTAAAAACTATTATATATACATCCGACGTTTCGGTTACTTGTCAGCAACCATGATTAAGGCAGACGAGTTGTCGGGAGTGTGGTGTTTTTAAAAATAATAAAATACGCAAAGTATTCCGAAAATATTACTTTCATTTAAATTAATACTCGCAAGTCTTAAATCTACTATATAAAAATAAGTCCGTTCTTTCTTCCTGACGCAACTCCAGAACGACCGAACCGATTTCCAGGGGTTTGTATTCGTTGGAAAGGTCTCTGACTCCGTGAGGTTTATAACAAAAAAAAATTCAGGAAAATTTTCAACAGAAAAGCGGGACAATCTTTTTTCACATACAGCGCCATTTCTGATACGTAACAGTACTACAAATCAATATTTTAAGTAGATGGTGCCGGTGCATGATACATCGTTTGAAGGCTACTCATTGTTCTCTGCTCAGTTAATTTCATGTGACAAACCGGTATTGTGTTTGTAGTTTAAACTCTTAAAACCATTTAGTATTTGCGGGATAAATTTAGAAAATCATTGTTTTTCACATGGGCAGTTATACTTTGCGTGTTCAGGAGTTCGGAAACCAAAAAACAAAAAATGTGGTTTACAAAGGAGCACTTCAATGAAACGGATAATTTGCGGGCACGTATAACGCTTCGATTCGGTATCTACTATGATTTACTTTCATTGGCATCTATTTTGATCTACTTTGATTCACTTTCATTTACTTAGAGAAGTTCAACTAAATAACACTTCATTTCTGTAATCGAAATGAATTCATTACTGTTGTGAAACAAAATTAAAATTTTCCTTTTCAAATATAAAACAATAAAAAAATTCTTCATCTTTTAATCACCAAACGAAATGTTACATAAAACAAAGCCTGGTGGCGAAACGGAGTTCGCCGGGTTTACTAGTCTCATTATACAATAAAAATAAACGCTCACATCTCGTCTGCCCGTGATCACGCCTGCTGAAAAGTAGCCGAAACGTCGGGAGTATGTAATTTTTATCAGAAATCAAGAAGCGTAATATATCCGAAAAATATTAGTTTCATCCCTACTAATATTATAAATGCGAAAGTAACTCTGTCTGTCTGTCTGTCTGTCTGTCTGTCTGTCTGTCTGCTACGCTTTCACGCCTAAACCACTGAACTGATTTTAATGAAATTCGGTACAGAGATAGAGTTGACCTTGAGAAAGAACATAGGATAGTTTTTATCCCAGACTTTTGAAAGGTTCTCTTGGAAACGCGATATAACCGAACTCCACGCGGCGAAGCTGCGGGCGGAAAGCTAGTTTACAATAAAATGAGTTCAATACACACATTAATACGTATAATATTTTTCAGGTCAACTGAAAGAGCATCAGATTCGAGACCACAACCCGTTCGAGGAGGTTCTACCTCTGTGTTCTACTGAGCACTTGATTAACCTGCCCAAGGTATGTACGTCATATAACTCTACTGCTACTTGTATATTCTGCTACTTATTTATCTACAATTAACAAACTGCAATTATATAATAATATATTTTTTTCAGAACAAAGGAAAATCAAGGACGTCGCGTGTCACGCCATCAGCGACACGTATGAAGGTGTCACGTTGGTCATACAAGAGGGTCTTCTGTGTCGCGAGTGTGACACGCCGCTTGACAGTGACAAACACTTCCTGTTAGTATAACCACTTGATAAAACGACGCTGCAAACATTGAATACAATCAGATTTATTGAATGTCAGTAAAGTTCTTCCTTTATCGTGTTGAAAACACTCATTAACTTTTACAAAAAAAAAATATTTTAGTAGCTCTTATTATATTGTGATATCATCTTATTAATATTTCTATATTTTCTAATGAAGAAAGATTAGATAAATAATATACCAAATGTTTAATACATACTAAAGTATAATTTTAATATTCTCAATATACAGCGGTCGCACGTCGCGCAGCAAGTGTCCATATGCTACATCATGTTACCGAGCGATGTTGAGACACAGTGGATATTGCGCCGGCTCACTTTCACTGGAGGCCGCTCCTAGACCCGCTCCCACGCTATACTGCGTCTGCGAATACTCTACAGACATAAGTCAGTTTACACTGGTTATAGGATGTCAATCAATATAATATATTTTCATTTTCTTTTATAAATTTTATAACTAACTATGTAACTGTTAGACCAGCAGCATATATAGATCAATATAAAATATACAATTAACCAATGACTATAGTAACTAATAAAATATTAAGATTTTAATCCCCAGACGGCATCGTTAAATTAAACAAGTATGTAGTATTAACAGATTTTATTGTCACGACGCAAAAATTGTATACAGTTCGTAAATATTTGCAATTCTTTATGAAAAACTTTGTTGTTCTAATATAATATTACTCCAGGCACGGACATTCTATCTCATCTCCTCGTGACACAACACACAAGCGCGTACTTAACTGAGGAACTAGCACGAGCCAACACCGTCAGGGAAGAACCAAAACCTGCTGATGAAGTAGAGCCTGTGAGTATCTACTAGTGATTACTCATACTGTTTTGCGATTATATTACAATATATTATGACATTGTTTATATATTTAATGTTTTAGATTGTGGAGAACATGCCGGCTATCCCAGATTACGCTCCCCCATCGGTCATCAACACTCAGCTATCTCTAGATGATCTTGCCCCACCTTCAGTTTTACAACCTGATCAGGTGTGTACTATGTTTCATAGGGGAGAAATATAATTTAAATTAAATAAACAAATAATTTATATTACATATTTTGTTTAAAGCATGATCAAGAACTCCTGAAAGACGCATATGACCACCCTCTGGCAACACCGAGACACGAAGAACCTCACAACACACTGGGAGACTTTGAACCCTTGCCTCAAGAGCCACCTCCCCAACCAGACTTTGAACAACTGTAATCTTATATATTTAGATAGATCTTTATCAGATAATAGTCTTATGTCAAGTGATACAAATATATTGGTTCTAAATAAATGGAAATGAAATGTATGAAAGATTCCAGCTCACAAAGTAAGCAATATTTAGCTGTGTATGACCTATGTAACATATCTAACTGTAAGAACATTGTCAGTTTTGAATTATTCAAGAAATATTATAAAGGAACTTACTGGAGATCAAAAACGGCAAATAGAGTCATAATAATGGAATGTCAAAAGAGTATGTATCAATCACTATTAAATTAGATTTTGGCGAGGAAATAGAGAAAAGGATAATTTAGTCAACAACATTTATTAATATTTTATATATTTCTGTCCATTATAGAAATGTATTTACATTTTTAATATAGTAAGTAAAACATGTTTAGTGATGTTAAGTTATACTAAATAAAAAGTTACATTCATCTTGGCTTTCTTCTAATTTTTATATAAGTTTATCACTTTATTGCTAACTCCATAATCATCTTGCTGTCATCTTTGTCAAGTGTTAAGCTGTCGTAATTTCATCTCTTTCATATATACCTCCAAGATATCTTCATTCTGTTACCCATCCTTTGTTGATATAATTCAAAGTGTTTTTCAATATCTCTCTTTAGTTGTCTCACTGTTGAATTTTGCGGAACCTACACAAACGTACACGATACTCATCGACTCTGTGCCTTGAAAGCTCGAACAGAAACAACTGTACTAAGATCACATAAATTATACAGATTCTTGAGACAATATCCATTGCAGCTGTTGAAAGTTCAATGTATCCTGTAGTAAATAAAAATAATTAATAATAGTTAAAAAAAAACGCGCTTTTATAGCAGAACGACCCAAAACTTAAAAAAAATATTTAATAACAAAGAGTTTATATTACCGTAGCAGA